ATTTCTATCCTCCCAGCCCCCCCTTCAAGAATCCCCTCCTAATTGAATCTATCATTTTAATCACACTTTTTGAAATAAAGTACATGGACATGAGAAAGACTAGAAGATTAGAAAGCACAGAGTTTAAAAGGCGATTTTTCCATCAAAAGAAAGTAGCCATGACTTCTAAGATGCCAACTTGTTTTTTGAATTTTCAATTAGAAACCTCCAAGATTTCAACTCTCATAATATTTGCTCCAATTGAAATCCCTAAAAAGATAAAGGAAATGTTGCCCACTTCATAGTGTAAGACTTTTGCCATTTTTGCAAGCCGATCATCCTCTATATTAATTCCCATCAACTTACTTTTGCAATAGTTTATCTTTAAGCTTGATACCCGTTCAAAAGTTCTCAAGATACATTTTAAAGCCACACATTTTGCTCAATTATATTTGCAAAAATAATTGTGTCATCTAAAAATTGAAAATGGGATACATGGTACTCCTTCCTACCAATCAAAACTCATTTGAACAAGTTCAACCACACTACAGATCTCATAATGCTATTAAGACCTTCTGCAACCATCACAAATAAACAAGGGGAAAGTGGATCACCCCCCTCAACCCTTTACTCATTACAAATTCCTTTGTTGGACTCCCATTTACCAACATTGATACTAAGTTCATCCTAAGGAGAACATCATCTACATGCACATGGAGAGGCAAGCTTTGTTGCGTAAACAAACTTGACAGTCCCAAAAGGACACCATGCTTCTACCAATTCCTCACACAACCATGCTCCAAATTGTCTCTCAATTTTCCCTTCTACTTCCTTTATACGAAAGGCCACCTCGCAATCAGATTCAATATGGCCCATTTTGCCACAAACATAGTAGAAGTTTGGGAGCCTCTTGTACTTGATATGGATCCTTTTGGTCTCAATCCAAGGTAATTGTATCAAATCTCCAAAAAGGGTTTATCAACTTCCAAGCACACTTGAATCCATAAAGATTTGTTGTGTTCTTCATCCACCTCCATAACTTTACTCCTTGCACAAACCCATTTGCAAGTCATACAAGTGCATCTAAAAAGGACTTGAGGTGAAGTTATATTGTTCAAGCGTAAAAGGATGATCAAACCTCTTAAAGATGATCGAAGAATTGCCAAAGTTCTATGGAGTTTTCATCAAAACTTTATCTAAGTCATAACTATTAACAAACTAAAAAAGATATAGTTTTTCACCAATTTGACTAACCTTTAATCCATTACTGACTACCAAGAGGAAAGCATGGCATTTAAGAACCCATAACATTGGTTTTCTTTCGAGTTAGGATTTTCTTTACCAAGTTTAGTGGGTGATTTAATGTATATAACTCTTCACTTAATGGATAATAAATCTATGTAGCTCTTATTATTCATTTATTTATAGGGCTTGTAGTTTTAAAAAGCGTTTAGGTGAATAAAATAATAAAAATATCAATTTTTTTTTTTGTTTGCATTCTATCTTATCTATACTTCATTCCGCACTTAGTTTTTTCACTATTTACTTGTTCATTATTTACAACGAAGTCATTGTTATTAACTCTTTCGACTTACAACTCCTCAAAAATAAAACTAGCATTAAAACGTTCAATCCAACCTAGACAAACATATGGACGATAAATCAAAAAAGTAGATGGAATTGTGCCAAAGTAAAGGCACATGGAAATAATACAAATAGAATGGTTTAAAAGAGAAAAAGATTTTGGGCCTAGCTCAAGACAGTTTCGCAAATATTCAATCCCACAAAATTAAACTCAGAGTTTTGAAAACTAGATTGGACCATTCGGTTAGACTAGTTTAATCAGTACCCAATAGTATAAATGGTTTTGATATACTTTTAAAACCATTTGAATGATTAAATCATTTAAAACCAATAAAACCACTTAAACCGATAAACCATTTGAATAAACGGTTCAATGCTTGGCATAAAGTTTTTGAGAAATTTGTCTCCTTTGAGTTCGAACTTACAACCTTGAAGCCCTTGCTCTAATCCTTTGCCACCAAGACAATGCAAATATTTGTGTCATCTGGTGCTTGGAATTTTATTTATCTCATAGAAATCTCAAAGATTTTAATAAAATTATTGATGACAACCTTAAGAGTCAAACACCCATTCTTCATGTTATACAATAAATATTCTTTCACTTGACACACAACCTTTTGTTTGCAAATTTATGCTTTACAATATATTTATTCAATTTTTAAAAGCACGATTATATTAAAGTTTGTTCTCAAGGAGACTCAAACCTGTGATCTCTTCTAAAATGAATCAATCACCTACCACTACGTGAAACTTTTTGCATAATAATATATTTATAGTATTTTGATCAACCCAGTGGTTTTACTAGTTAAACCATTCAAACCACGAACTAGAGGTGAAAATAGTTTGACCTCTGGTTTGGGTTTAAAAACATTGATTAAACTGCATTTCCTTGTTTACGAGTAAAAAGAAAGAGTACTAAAGTTCAACATATTAACTATTAAGTAATCCGATGGTAATGTCTTTTAACTGAAATTTAAGGTTGAAATCATTTAAGGTTTTGATTGTCTGGGGTGGAAGTAGATTAAGGAATGTAATAGGACTTTCTTTCATTGTGCAAACAGCAAATCAAAAATCAAAGAAAAAGTACAAAAGAAAAAAGAGTAATTAAGGAACTGGCTCAAGCACAAATAAACTACTCTTTTTCTTTAATTTTAATAGATTTAATTTTTAATTTAGAGTATTTAAATTTAATTGTTTATTTCTTTTAGATGTCATGCACTGTTTTTATTTTATTCTTATTTTAAAAAGATAATTATAACATATATTAAATAAAAAGATTTATTTAAGTTGTAATTAATTAAGGATAATTATTACATTATTATTTTATTTGACAGAAAACACTAGACCTTTTGAAAAAGAACCAAGAGAGATTATAAAAAGGATTTTTATAGCATGTATCTTAAGGATACATATTAAAAGTAAATTAATTAAACTTTTATTATTAATTTGTATGGAAAAACAAAAAATTAACTTCATATTTTAGAGAAATATCATGTGTATAATTTTAATAAGATAGCTAATAAAATTAAAGTAAACTTTTATTTTCTCCATAATAATTATTGAAAAAATAATTGGTGTACACTCAGTTTCAACACACTTTATGACATTTTTCTTAATTTAATTATTAAAGTATAATATAAGTACAACAAATTCAGTCAGTTTCAACACACTTTTTGACACCTTTTACATATTGTATGCACACCAACATCTTTAAGTTTATTTACTTTTAATTTCATATAAGAAAATAATAATTTTTTAATTAATGTGTTGTATAGTATATTGAACTAGAATATATACTAATAAGTATCCTAATTAATAAAAAAAAATTAATACACTCTTAGCATTATGGCACATGTTAGAAAAAACCATATAAAAAAGTAACAAGATTAAAGAAAATCAATATATTCTAACAATTAAAATACCAAAAACAATAATGAAAATACTAAAATATCCTTAATAAATCCACACCAAAAAGATTCATTAGAGGTATTTAAATGATGGTTAAATGCTTAATTTGGTCCCTTAACTTTATGAAATGCACATTTTTGGTCTCTCAACAATTTTTTGCACTTTTTTGATCCCTCAACTATACAAAATGCACTTCGTTAGTCCTTCTATTAATTTGGGCCGTTAACCCTGCTTAGGTGGCATTTTTTAAATTTTTTTTGATGATGTGAAGAGCAAAACTTAAAAAAGTGATGATATGCATAAAACTTCTATCATGTCACATGCTACCCTGGCGAAATCGAGCCAAATCCATCCAAATGAGTCCCACATCACCACTAAGAATTGCTTCTTTGCCCATCGGTTACTGTTTTTCTTCTTTCCATAAACGGTGTTCTTTTCATTTTCAAGATTGAAGTTCGACAGAACCCAGCAAATCTGGGTTCGATGTAACCTAGCAAATAGGTTTCATCGAACCCAGCTCGATACATTGAACTCAATTGCCCAAAAATCCCTCACAACAACCTGCAATTGCCCAAAAATCCCTCAAAATCCCTCACAACAACCTGCAATTGCCCAAAAATCCCTCAAAATCCCTCACAACAACCTGCAATTGCTCAAAAATCCCTCGCAACAACCTACAATTTGAATAATCTCTTGGCAAACAATCATATAACAAAAAAAAAAAAAAAAA